AGTCCCCCTTAAGTAGATACTATAGTATGTAGGGGTTGTATAGGGGTAATGGACAAGAAAATGGAAACTACGGGGATTATAGGGCTTATATAGGGACTACATGGCGGTTGTATAGCGGATTTATATGGATAATGGAAAGAAAGCGGAAAATGTCTAATTATATTATAATAGGGTATATATTGGGATTGTTGTACTGGTAACAGGAAGAGTGTGCCTCACCACCTGCTCATCTTTTTACTACTCATGTTTGTGTGGAGACGATGGTCATGACAACGACATCGCCAGCGATGAAGACGACGGTGATGGTTACGATGACGATGGCGATGGCGATAACGACCTGGTGGCGTGGTGGCGTGGTGGTATGGTTGATAAAAGAATTTTGGTAACCCCAACCCCCAAAATTAGGACCCTATGGGGGTTGGGGTTACCAAAATCCTATTATTAATGGTGGTGGGGCAGGTGGTGTGGGTTTTGCGTGCGGGTGGCCCTTGTGGTCGAAGTAGTAGCAGTGTAGTAGCAGTGCAGCAGGAGTATTGGTAGCAACATTATTGTCACGCTCTTCAGAAGCAGCAGCAGCATTACCAGTGCCAGTTACTGGTAGCACTAGGAGGAGGAGTAGTAGTAGCAGCAGCTGAAGTTGTAGTAACAGTATGAGTAGCAGCAGTAGCAGAGGCAGTGGCAGCAATAGAGGGAGTATATTTACCGCTTTACAACAGTGCGCGCCCCCTTACAGGAATGCTTCAACACGCAGTGTTCGTTTTTTTGCAAGTCTGCGTTAGGAGGACCCCCCACCCTGTAATAGTGGTATAAGAGGAATATAAGAGGACCCTAATATAATCCCTATGATCCCCTATAGTCACTATTACTGGGTGGGGGGTCCACCGAAAGTCTGCGTTTCTTGCCTGAGGAGTTCACGACCCGGCCCAGCTTTGCACCCAGGCTCCGGTGCGGCGTACAGGACTTCGCACTGGTTTCTATGATCTTCAAGTGTCGGTGCCTTCCGCATGGGAGCTAGGGGGCTGTAAGGGGCTGGATTCCTCAAAACAGGCCAAGATCAGGGCTGAAATGCGAGTTTATTTCCCCTCATCTCTTGCCTCTGACACCCTAAAACTAAACTGGACCGTCTAACCTGAATCTAAACGATGATTAAGCCCCTCCCACGCTGACACCCCTTTAGCACCCCATAACTTCCTTGCGTGCTCCTTCCTGTCTTTGCGTACTTAGAGGATCATTATGTAGGGATGTGAGGGGGATTTCTGCATAACTAGGCTGCTCATTTTTGGGCGCTTGCAGCCCTAATTGGTGACCCAGATGTTCAAAAGCCTTGAGCCGTGCAATATCCCGTTCTCATCTGAATATATGCCAATATGGGCATTTTTTGGAAGGATCCGCACATGATCTTTAAGTGGACAGCTCCATGCATCGTATGGTAGAAGATTTGCCCTTACACACCTTATGTAGCTACAGTATGGGTTTCATTAAGCGAGCCACTACATTTGGTATTGCATAACCCCTATAGACCCCACGACTTTCCATTTCATTTTGCATTTGCTTCTCCATCACGGAGGGAGAATACCCCTTATAAACCCTAACCCCTATGACCGCCCTATAATCCTTATGTAGTCCCAATAATCCACCTTATAATCCCTATGGAACTCCAGAGCTGTTGGCATCCAACCCTAAACCCTAAACCCTAATCCCTAAAACATAATCCCTAAACAGGACTGCTCAGCGGGTCAAGGCTGCAGCACTTGGAGTGTGCTTGGCTTACAGCGGGCAACAGGGATGGGTCAGGTTTAGGTTGGGTATTGCCCCCACCCAGTAACAGTCCATATTAGGGGTCCTATTAAGGGCTATATATAGCCATATTATAATTTATTGGTCCAACTGTTACTGAGGGGGGGCAGTACCCAAGGTTTAGGGTTTAGGAATTAGGGTTTAGTGAATAGGGTCTAGGGATTCGGGTTTACGGGATAATAGGGATTAGGGTTTAGGGTCTTCTGGATGTGTTTACCGATACGGGGATGTAGGGTCGAGGGTTTCTGCAAGGTGCTTTTCATGTGGGCAGGAGTGGTCACTGTAGACAAGGACCCTCAGTCTGGTAAACCCAAGTGCATCTCGTTCCCCTAAAGATCAAGTGAGAGGTTTCACAAGAGGGGACCTTAAAGGGATGCTAGGGATATACGCGGTGATTACAGGAGTTCATTGGGCTTCTCTTCAGGGAAAGTGGGAATATTCTCAGAAGCTCCCAAGTATCCTGTTGGGTTGCTCTCCAATTTGCAGATTGTGTCTGTATACCCTTCCTCCAACTCTAGTTCTAGCAAGCCCAAACAAACATGGAAGCATATGATGCAGAGGCCAAACAACTAAGAACAGGATTTTGGCATATGTTATGCCGCACTTCTACAAGGATTACAAGAGGATGTCGTTGGTGATCATTCAGGCTTCTATATTGGAGACTGATAAGGCTTCTATATTGGAGACTGATAAGTGCCGAAGATGTGAGCCCTGAACCCTAAACACAACAACTGAGGTCTTGTCACATCAAGACGTCCAAGAAGAGGCAGGGGGCATTTTGGTATTGCCCTAAAATGCACAACTCAGAACCCTAAACCCTAAACCCTCACATGCATGCCCCCGACCTCAGGCCGCGGCCCCCAGCGACGCGGACTGGGAGGCGCGGGTATTAGGTGTACATGAGCTATGGTCTGAACTCCTTCAAGAGAGTTATATAGGGGATCATATAGGGAACTACTATAGGGGTTATTAAGGGGGATACTATCAGTTTAGACTATAGCTCATATGGTATTGCAGGGTTTGTATATATCCGAATATACACTTGGAGGGTCAGGGAGACTTAGTAAGTAGGTTAGTAACCCCTATAACCCATGTAGTAAGCCCATTTATCCCATTATTAACCTACTTACTACGTTCCCCTGACCCCCCAAGCACCTGCTGACGGTCATCTGACTGACTACGTAGATGATTCGCAAGGAGTACATCCAGGTCCTGGCCCTGCAATAAGTCCAATTGAAAAGATTTTAACCGCTTCCCCCGAACAAAAAACGACGTCCCCCCCCCTA